AATCTACCTGTGAGTTCTTAACTGTACGCTAGTCTCTAAACTGTTCTTAAACCATAAAAGTAAAGTTTTCAAACAGCAGTCCAATTTCAAAAATTCTCAAGGACCTCTTAAACTACGAGATGACAGATTATTAATTTATCTCTTTATTTAAAAATTAAGTTTAAATTCTGAGTTTAAAGTTGGGTTTAAAATCATATGATCTAAGCAAATAATTTCTGTAGAGAAACATTTGTGCATAAGTTTTGAAACTGACTAACGCCACTAAAGTTTTCTTTTCTTGTCATTTTGATATAATCAAGATTTGATACCAGATCTTTGACAGCAAAGTTAGAGATCAAGACAAGCACAAAAAGGTTTGAAAAGACAGCGTTACTTAATTCCAGCAGGACAGAAAGTTTGTTGACAACAAAGAATTAATAGGAAAAAGTGTAGCAAGAGGCTAGCCAATTTGTTTTTGTCCTTCCTCCTTTACATTCAATTTTTCTACTTCCTTTCACTGGCATTTTCCATACACGACAATAAATACCTGCTATGTAGCATGCTCCTATTGTCTGAGGTTTGCTGTTAAGCAATTTCTCCCATGCACTGCATGAATATTCATTTGCTCAAAATTATTATGCCTACAAACAGTCACTACAAAAACAAAGTCCTCATTTTATATCTTTCTGCAGAAATTCCTGCTATCTTACTACAAAAATCTGGATAAAGGAGAAACCACTAGAAAATGCACTCATGTAGAAGTGTGTTTGCTAGCCATATTCCAGAAAAACCAATCATAGAAACTCACTATTTTTCATTGGCTTTTCTCCTTTTATTAATTCATTTTTTCCCTTATCTAATGATTTTCTTAAATATTAATTGCTTAACTCCATATATTTCAACATAAGTCTTGAGGACTTTTGGCAAATTTTGTCAAATATAATAAAAAACTTAATCTATTTCATAGTTATATCGAAGTTGAAGCCTTTTCTTATATCCGCTCTCATTTCCCCACATCTGCCATATTTTATAAGATGTTATACACAGTTTTGTGATAGTATTGCATTACTATCCTGTTTAATATAGTATTCAAAATGGAAGAAAAAAACCCTCACAAAACAAGGGAAAGTGTTTTGCAACTTCTACATTTCTAGCCTTTAATTAAAATGGAATCACTTGGTCTATGAGCTTGGTAGTGTTTTCAGTTCTCTGGGAGATTATAGCTGCTAGCTCATTAGACTGTTTTTCACGTTAATTTACTGAAAAGGGTGATATATTTGTAATACAGCTTGTAATGCTATAAAATGGCTCATCAATCTGTTTTATTCATGTAAAGTCCACATAAGGCCACTGGTCTGTTACTGGCAATAAACCTTTGGTGCATTTTCAAAAGACCTGCATATTACTTAGTGATTTATAGACCCTGTCCTGGCACCATACTAACAAGGAAAGGCATAACCCAGTCGACAGTACTGAAAAGCACAAGTATATCATGCGACTGTCACATACACAGAGAGAAGACTACCTTGTTCTTGAGTATAACATGGGTTTCAGAAGACTTGGCAAATCCAGTGCACTACCATTTTTAGTTCTGCATCACTGCTCTTCCAGAAAAATTAAATATAGTCCCTGCTCCTTTTATGTCTATGTTGTAATACTTGAGCTATACACTGTTCTTATTACATACTCATCCTGTGAATCCATATCACCATAAAGAAATTTTTTTTCAAGGAATCATTTACATCTCTGAATACAACCCCCACTCTGTTTTGCCATGGAATAATAAAAAACCCCATATGTTTTTAATAATTTTTTCTTCAACCTGGTAACAGGTTGAAAATAACAAAATTATATTATTCTATGGCCTCAAAATATTACAAATAATTTTATCTCCTTTTTTTTTTGTTACAATGAAAACAGGAAAACAGATTTTTTGAAATGCTAGTTTAGAATATGGAAAAATAAATGTAATTACGGTAGTACTAGAGAGGGTATAAGGAATAGAAAAAGCATCTCTCCAGTTTAATTATGCTCTTTATAACACACAGAAACAGTCTAAAGAGAAGAAAGCATAGGTTCTGCTTCAATATTAATAATTTTCCTGGCGACAGGAAGTAACTTGGTATAGAAGAATTCTCAAAAATTTCCTTTAAGACGGGATGTTTTTCAGAATGCTACATAAAGCATTGAAATGACACAGTCTACAAAACAGCTAATTTAGGAAGTTTCATTTGCATCTTTCTCTCAAAAATCTAGGCTATTAGATAAATTTAAATCCATTTCAAACTGTTTACAATGCCTTCTTTGCAGTTACTGAGTGAAAAAAGGGAAAATAACTATAAATAGGAATAAACATGCAAAAACCACTAAAAAGAGCACAAAGCAAATAATATCAAAAGAAGAAAACTATTTTCTGCCAATATATTTTCATTACTGCAATAGCTAGCATTTGACAGATCAATGACAGTGAGGATGAGGCCCTATGTCTCTCAGAAGCAAGGGGTTTTTTTCTGTGTAAGTAACATATTATTTGAATGAAGAGCCATACTAATATGGTAGTATGCTTACAAAATGTCAGATAGCCTTTCCCAAAATCTGTGGAGTTTCAGTTAAGTGTTCAACATTGTATGAATTTTCTAAACTCAAAGAAAACAAGTTTTTGTTATTTAAAACAAGTTTCAAAAGTAATTTTGCGCAGCAGGACTTACAAAAATTTCTAATATGCTGGCATCCTTAAGGGACTTCTATTACCAATCTGCTACACCTTTTACTGACATGACAAAACTACTCTAACTTGGTGATATAGTGCTTCCATATCACATAATATGGTTAAGTGACAGACTTCAGCAGAAACATAGATTTAGATAGTTTACAGTTTATAATACAAAGCTGAATTAATCTCTGTTTGGATCAATACTCTTCCTTGGAAAGCTGCAAAAAATATGGAATATACTTTCAAGTTAAAAAAATAAATAAATAACAGCCATAATGAAAATAAGCAACTTTTATACAGTAAAGCAAATATCTAATAACATATCACTACAAGCTCTATACTCTCCTTTCTTTATTTATCCTTTTGGATTTTTGTAATCTGTTAACTACATTAACTTGCTGGTTTAAGTAAAACACAAGTATTTAAGTAAATTTAAGTAAAGTGCTCTTACACAGTACTTTTCTCTCCATTCTATAAAGCACCTTAAAAATATATATAGCAAATACTGCTCAAGTTATTAAATAGTCCAAGGACCAATTTCATTGTGTTTTAAGGTGGAGTTTTAAATAAAAATAGGATTAACTAAGATATCTACAGTGAGTTTTATACTCTATATCCTCCCACAGCAAAAAATTATTAAAGGATGATGGAACCTGGTGATGTGTAATGTCAGATCATGGAGCTGTATTAAAACTCAGATGAAGAAGGTAACTACAGATAAAGGCTTTATAAAGCTTTTCTACTTTTTGCAGATACCAAACCACATATACTTGATGGAGTCAAATTTGTTACTCAAGTTAACCTTTTGCATAGGGATAGTATTCCTTAGTAATTGATTCCTTAATATTGATTTTTGTTCATCACGGAATTAATGAATGTGTTAGGGCTGGGGAAGGGAACAAAAAGATGTTTAAAAGGAGGGAAATAATATCAATAAAACAGCGAAGCCTTGGAAAAGATACCACATAACTCTACTCCACTGAAATACCTTGTAAGAAAACACAAAAGAATGTTTAAAGTCAACTCTAAAATTTCCCAGAAGTATGGTGATGTTTTTATATGTACAGTATGTCTGGGCGATTTTACTAAACTAACACAAACAATTACAATTCTATTAAAACATTCCTGCCAGTGATTAGTGCAAAGTGGGCTTGTTTTTCACTCTTCACAACAGGCCCATAAAACACAATGCCAGTGCTTTTTCTTTGTTAGAAGTAGAATGTTATTGTTGTTGTTATTAGTATTATTGTTATTATTATTATTATTGTTGTTGTTATTTTCTGTAGACAGTTCTTGAATTCCTGAATGATTAAGTAGAAATAATGTTTCTTGAATGTTAAAAAAATGGAAAAATCAAATTGTCTGTCATAGGGAATGTGGTGCAGAACTGCTACCATGGACCTCTGGAGGGTGAGACGGGAGCTGTTTCGGCAGGCTTGGGTTTCTCTCTGTTTATGTGAAACGGACATTGGCATATCTTGCCTGGACTTTTCCTGTGGGGTTCATATGGTAGGCAGGGTGGGGAATAGTTGTCTGAGCCATACCAAGGTCAGCCTGCTAGAGCTGACAGTTTCTGTCTCTGTACAAAGAAAAGAATCAATACTTTTGGACTACGGCTGTGCCCTCAGTGTAAAACAACAAACATGCAGCGTCTGACATGTTTCTAGGTGATTTGTGGCAGAACCTCTTGTCTGATCTGTATCCAGGAGCTGCTGTGTTACTGCGCTGTGCTTTTCTTCTCTCTCTCGCCCCCCCCAGCTCTGTGATGTCTAATACTTTACTCAGGTACAGAGGCGTGTGTTCTACCCTACAGCTACTTGTCACTCAATAAATCACACCTACAAGCACAGTCTGCACATAGTGATCTGGGCTTTAACAAAGGATCAGAGGGACAAAGTGCAGGCAAGATACTGTAATTATAACAAAAATAAAACATTCAGGGGGTTGTAGCAAAGGCACGGGCTCCCAGGCACTAATAAAATGTTATTAGAATTGCAGTTTTGTTTCAGTCCTTCAGGTTTCATTTTTAACAAATTTTCCATCGTAGATTCTCTTGTTCATCATCCTTCCAAGCTAAAACACAAAGTTTGGGGAGATGACCTATTTTTGTCTGTCTGTCTATCTATCTATCTATCTATCTATCTATCTCCATATCTTCATCTATTTTTTTAAAAAGTATATTTTTATATACATGATATATAAGTATATATATACTTTTATAAAAAATATATATACTATACACTTTTAAACTATATATATACTATATGTATACTTTCCCCGCCCCCTTTTTCTTGGATAACAGAAAAACCCTGTATTCTATTCTGTGGTCACTCACACCTACAGTCAGTGCCAGTATTAATTCCTCAATTTCTGAATGTCAATTATTGGGCCCATTCTGTTAAAAAAGGGCTATAAATATGCCCCAAAAGCAAAACCAGCACTAACAAAACAGTTACTTGAACATAATTTGAACCAAATTAATTGGACAGTCTTGAACCAACCAAGGTTTATGCAGTATACATTTGTTTTGTCTGACAGCATAATTTGTGTGGAAACATTTCCTCAGCAAAACATTTATATTGTGATATTTAACATATATCACAAAGGTATATTTGCCTTGGAAGGAGTTTTACACCAGGCTTGTTCTTCCAGGTACACTATTCCTCAGCAGATAACCTGTTAGCCAACTCAGATACAAGTGCAATGGACAATTATTACCCATTCTGAGTACATTAAATGCACCCATTATGCTAATTTAGCCATTTCAGTCAAACCAAACACCTTGTAATGCAGGGTGAGTAACTCACCACCATGGAAACATCATGAAAAGAACATGGGTTAGAGAAGCTCCAAATTTCCTTCCGATCCAGTCAGCAACCAAGAGGCCAAATTTCCTCATCCACATAATGCAAAAGCAGTGGATCAATAATTGTGATTTAACAACAGTTAGCCGCCAATCATCATATGAGGGATTGAAATGTGTCTGCGTGCAAAACACATTTCAGATTGGCTGGGTCACAAGATCAAAGCCTCTATGCTGGATTTAATGCTTGGAGATGAGATCTGATTGGGAAGAAGCCCAGGATAAGGGAGAAGGAAAGACAATCAAGGATTAGGCAAACTCTGGAGCAAATGCTTTTAATTCATACTGGTTTTGGAGAAGTGAGATCACCACATCTGCTCTATGCATTGTTCACCTTGGCACTTTCCCACCATTTTGAACAGTGGCAAGCTTCCATATACATCCTTTTGCTGTTCCTTATTAAATCAGCATCTCACTATTCACAGAAAGAACAAGCAGCTTTGCTTGCATATTTTAATGAACAAAGACTTATTTAAGCACAGTCATTACAAATGAAAGTCATGTTGATGAGCTTGCAAAGGGTCAGCACTTTCTGACTAGGAACAACTGACCTTCTGCCCATACCATACTTGCTGATTTCTCCCACTGAGGAAAGCAAAGAACTATCACTCTTGCTTGCCCACACACAACAGAAATGATGTCACTGTCCCAAAACACCAATATTTTTATGAAGCACCTACTATTACTGACCTGAAGACCACCCCTGAATAAACAGAGGAAAAAAAAACCAAAAAAAAAAAAAAAAAAACCAAAAAAAAAAACAAAAAAACAAACAAAAACCCACCAAAAAAACCCCAAACCACTCCACAGAAAACAATGTTAGAAAGTTAACAACAGTCCTAAATCTGCTGAACATTTACTGCTGGCCTGAATAACTCCAGATGGTCCAAGGAGAATATCACTTTTTGATCCTCTAACTTAATACTCAAAACCACAATTAGAGCCCTGAATGTCAAACTCCTAATGATTCCCTTATTCTTCAGAATTCTGGCTAACTAGCTACACACTGTGACCCTTTCAACAACGGATCCAATTCTTTCCTCAAGCTTTGTGAATCTGTACACAACTGGAGCTGTCTACTGGGAAACAACTGCATTTGCCATATGGTTGTCCTCCAAATAAACAAATAAAAATGATCCAAAACAAGAATTCTCACATTCTTTTTCTTTAGTTATCATAAAGTCCCAGGAAAGTCATAAGTATGATACTCCACAAAGAATATACCAAAATAGCCTACACGCTCTTTTTCGTTGAAGTAGATGGAACTCACTGGTTGCCAATTAAAGTCCAGTAAAGGACTTTCCTCTCTTGCTCTTCCTAACTATCAATGTATTGCTTTTGATTTTCAGAAGGCAAACACCACATCAAAAATGAAGAAGGTTTTCCATGATTTGTCCAAACCATTCATGGTCTTCCTAGGAAATAAGCCAATTTACAGATTGAAATGAGTAATTCTCCTCCCACATTTAAAGTCATTTGTAACAATGCACCACAATCAAAATTCAGCTTAAGGGGAATGTGAGGGTGTAGAGACAGGCAGCAGAAATGTATATCACACAACACGCAATAAAACTACTGCAGTACTTTGTACAGGGTCTCTAAACTTGTAGAGGCTTTATACTGGCTTTTCAAAATGTGCCATACAACATGTATGCTGCAAATTCAACTCACATTTCATACAGAAGCAGACTTTCATGGTTTGCAGAAAACATATGCACAAGCACATCTCTAATTATTTGTAACTCACATGCTTTAAATCCCAGTAGGCTTTAATCTGTAACCTTTTTTCATGCATGTTGTTTTTCCACAGCGTATTGTTCTACAATTAGCACCAGTGATATCTGGTACATAGTAACCCAAATCATAACATCACAGATAATTGTAAATTTGTAAAATAAAAAAAAAAAAAAAAAAAAAAAAAAAAAATAAAAAAAAAAAAAAAAAAAAGAAAATAAAAATGTCTGGATCCAAACTTATTTTCACATTTTACATTGAAATTGAACAATAAATTTGGAATAAATAATTTTAATACAGGTTATTCTGATGTCATATATTTGGCAAATCTGTAATGGTATTTTTCTTGCTGTACATTGTTTTTTACATATCCAGGCCTCAATATTGTGAAGTTTTAAAAACATATTTGACTTTATACACTTAGATAACAGTACAGGTCTTAAGGCTCTATGCATTCCTATTATGAATATTTGTATATGCTAAGGACATTAGTCTTCTTTATGAGTAATGCTTCACAGAAACGCAAATATATGTATGCATTTTTAGTATGTGGAAACTTTAATTACCATAGATTTATTTGTATCACTTGGTAATCTCATAACAACTATGGATTTCACTTTATTTTCTACTTCAGGGATATATTATCCACTTTTTAGAATTAGGAGATTCACATTTCTTTTACATATTCATTTTTGCTTTTATTGGATTCAATTTTATTTAATTTCATTTTAAGTTACAGATTATCTCACTGTTGTGTTCTTGGACACATGCATCAGAAGATGTACTCTTGTTCTTGGGCTCTGATTTCTACATGTTATCTTAATTTTTATCTCATCTTCAATTCTCTGCTTTCTTTCCTTCTAGTAATTTTGGCATGCCCTTGATCTTATGTCACTTACTGAATTTCCCTCTCTTTCTCTCTTTCCACCCCCTCCTTCTCTTAATCTCTGCGCATGTGTGTATATGCCATATCAGAGGGACATACTTCCAATTATCTGCAATTCAAAAATATTAAGAAGACATAATTACTATGTAATAGATCTCAAAACATAAGAAAATAATTACACACGTGATAAGATTAACAGATTATTTGAATTTTTATGTGCTATATTGATAATCAAAGACATGTTACCATAGTAGATATCAAATTTGTATTTCTTCCAAATATCATTGGTCACCTTTCATCCTGAACAAGATTTCTCATCTAACCCAAGCAGACTCCTCAAAAATATTTTCAGCAATGACTCTTTCCCCCATCCTGTTTTTTTTTTTTTTCCTTTTGAAATTGAAAGCTCCTAATTCACTAAACCTGACATAATGCATTTTTATAATATTCCACTGGTTAAATTTGTACAGATGTTATGTATTGTTAAAATACTATTTGTAAGTGCACCTTAGATCTACTGTTAAATCATAAGTAGAACCCAAGTTTACCAGGCTCACAGAAACACTAAGTCAGTCAGATCATGCACCAAGATTTCAGAGTACGCACAGAAACATTCTCAAAAAGACTTTATCACAATGGAATGAGGACTTAAGCTTTGTAAAATTGTCACAAGCAGGTGAGAACAAAATTGACATTTAAAAATACAGAAGCATCACCTACATCAAGCAACAAGCAACAAATCTTCAGAAAACTATTCTATCTGGGCTAGACAGTTTGCTTATATTTGTCTAATGTCGTAATGATTTTCAGTCTGACATGCAAAGAGCACTATGGCTCCTTTAAGAAACATAACCTTTAGCAAGTAAGCACTAGGAAAGTTAAGGAGTGAAGACATTTCTAGCAGCTGCTAACCAAAGGGCATATAACTGACTTGCCATACCACATAATTTTAGTCCAACTATGAGTTTTCAGTCAATAACCAGTGAGCAAAATTATCACACCATATTAAATTTTGCTATTGTTATTACTAGAAAGTTAGGTTATGCTACAATCGTTACAGCTATCTTTGTGTACACTGCCCTGAGCCACGTCTATGTCTTGCTGTGGACTACAGAGGGCAATCAAAAAGGGTTCAACACTTTCTCTTGATTAGTGTCTTTTCACAGGTATCTTCAAAAAGGAGCAGAGTATAAAAACCATACTGTCTATGCTTGCAACTAAAATGCAAAAATATTTGACAGTAAGTCATTTGCTCCAAAAAATAAACTAAAATGCATCTGCAACAAGCATTGTAATATATACACATACATGCAAACTTTTTTTTTTTTTTTTGAAGAAACCATAATATGACTGGCTTACCACTGAAAGACATAAAACTTTGGCTTGTGTTTATACTGTACCTCTGATTGGAACTTGGATAAAGCTACTGTTGTTAGCTGGAATAAAATGTACACTGTAATATTGTTGACATTACTCATGTTGGACAGACTGTAATGTAAATATACATTTTGCTACAGCTCGAAATATGGTTTTGATAGATTCCCAGATTTTGAAAATTACTTTAAATCAGAGCAGGTCTCTGCCAAAATGATTTGATATTTCACAACCATATGAATGAAAAATATATGACAATGGAACAAATCTGGATCTGAATGACTTGACCTAGTGGCTTATGGTATTGTAATATCTCTCCAACCTCTCCCAGAATTTTCATACAAAGGAAAATATCTCAGACTGTGCTGAGGGGAATAGAATTAGTCACAGTATCAACATGTTCAGAATTTAAAAGACTTTCAAATTTATCAGATCTTCATAAACCACATGTCACGTTTTTAGGTCATATAGAA